AGTAGTAGTGATATTCAATCCAAAGAACTATTAACAACAAGTTTATCATGTTGTGTTTAGCAAATAAATTTTTTTGTATCACGACCAGTGATAGGGGATATGTCACAAAGTAGGATTTTGCATTTGTAGCTACTCTTCTTTCTTGAAAGATCCTCATTATCTAATACTTGTTACAGCAAATCACTGCAGATTGCTGGCGCTGTCAGGTAGTATAAAGCTCAGTGTGTGCACAATGCTGGTCTGTAGCAGGAAGCACCACGTTTGAAAATATCTATGCTGATGCACTGTTTGCAGCCATGTGCATCCCCCACCAAATGGCAGATATATGAGGATGTGTGCTTTCAAAAAATATTTTTATTTCAATTATTAGACAGCAAATGCAAGACTGTCTACTGTTAGTGTCGGGAGAGCACAAAAAATCCTGTCCTGCAAACTAGGAATCCTCATCGCAGAAATTTTAAGTGATCCGCTAATGAAAGTTTTAGCAAAATGTGCAAATAGTGGTTTTGCCTCTGGTGGAGTACCAGAGCTCCTGTCACAACTATATTTGATCTTCCAGATCCTACAAAAGTTAAAGGACCTGCTTTGTTCTATTTACTGTGCAGTCAGTGCATCCATCCGATGTGCACTGGACGCTTTGTGCATTTAAAAGTATTTGAGTGCTGATCCCACAGCCACCCACGTGAGTCACTGTGTTGTATTTACTACCAGAAAGGGTTGCTCCAGTACAGAAGTGTTCACATCATCAGTGCCTGGTTGAGAGCTGGAGCTGGTTCCACGTGGCCCCACGCGTGGCTGGGTCCGGGGTCCCGGCTCTCCCAGATGCCGGCTGTCCACCCAGCCAGGGCTCTCCATGCTGCAGCTCCACCAGCATCCCACAGCCCTTAGGGTGCTGGCTGCCAGTCAGCAGAGGCTCTTTACAGCTGAAGTGATTTAAATCACTGGTTGTGCTCATGATTCAAGTGATAAACAAGGAAATTTAAATTAAATAATTTGAACTTTTCCTGGGTGAGAGCTCATTCCCGTTGATTAGGAAGAGTAATGTAGAACACATGGCTTGCAGCTAGTCACACGCTTGTAAAATTTGGCGTGGTTATGTATTAACCAGAAAGTGATGCTGCATCTCTCACAGCTGTGCAGCAGTTAGTTAGCTTGAGAGTCTCGGTTTTCACTTTCTAAATTCTTCAGAAAAGGTTGATGACATTGATGGAGAATGGTTGTTTTTTACTTGAGATATCTCATATGACACAAGGACAGAAATTAAAGGTCGACTAAAATATGTAAACCGTTACTTGAAAATTGCGATTATATTTATGAAACATGCTTGCCATATTTAATAATAAAAAGCATTTTCTGTCTTAAATTACATTACTAAACAAAGAACTTTTAGGTGTAATTTTCTACTTTTCGAGCAACTTTACTCTAAACAGTGGATGTTACTGTCTAATTGATTTTTAAACAGTTGGTTTTCTTTTTAAAGAGTATTTAATCAATCATTAACAACTTTGGTTAAAATTAATGAGATTTTAAACATTCATAAATTCTCTTTGCCTTCTGATGTGCAGGTCCACAGCCCAGCTGGTAGTGCTGCTGCTCCCTGCCTCCCCGGGCAAACTGGCAGCCTCATGGAAGGACCAGCTCACGGGGCTCAAACCATGCAGCATGTGCTGTAGGAGCTTCGAGTTAGCATTGCTGCTGTTTTATCATAAAAGTTGATAAATCTCTGATAAAACGAAAATGAAAGGAACACTGGGAAACAAAGCTGTTACTCTACCAGTAAAGTGCTTTCTTGAATGTCAAAAGCTGCAAGTGAGTTACACAGAATAATCCGTCTCCGTGTGGAGCTCTGTAGGGCCCTGGTAAAGTGTTTTAAAAGTAACTAATTCAGTGTTTCACTTGAAAATTGAGTGCCACAGTTTTATAGTTGCCTGTGTGTGCCTCAGTGGTCAAAGGAGTTTGGGATGTAGTGAAGGATGTTCCCCCCCATGTTAAAAGCTTTACCACTGGAGTTTTCAGTGCTGTTGGCTTTCCCAACCCGCTGTGGTGTGTGGGAAGGTGTGGTGGCACCGGCTCCCAGTGCTGGCTCGTGGGCCCTGGCAGTGGGTTTGGGCTCCTTGGAGCAAGAGCTGAGCACAGACCTGCAGCAGGGCAGACACAGCCACAGAAATGCATCTTCTTAATTATTGTGAGGCAACACTGGGAAATCCAGGAGGCTTTGTCCTGGGGGTGCTTCCTTTTCTCCAGGGGGTCAAAGATCAATCCTGGGGCTTTGCTGCCTTGTAGAGCCACCTATGGCAGAAAGGTCAGAGGCAGGTGGAGCATCCAACTGGCCCTTCCAAATCTGAGTCTCAACAGAAGGTCAACAGCTCACTTACCTCAAATGAGTTAAAATGCTTAAGTTTACACATTGCATTTTCTTATTCTTAATGATTTATCAACTAGCAACTATCACTGTGAGTGTTACAGCTGCTGTTTGCACACACAAAATGCAGGGGGGGGTTTCGTCGTTTTTTAATAATAAGAAGTCAGAAACGTAGATTTTGCCTTTACTTCTTAATAAAAGCCCCATGTGAAAGGATACTTGGCTATCTCAAGCCCTGAGCTTCATTATCCATTAATTTATCCACTTGGATACATGTATACAGCTCCCGTTGACAGCAGTAGCTGCTTCAAGACTCCTGAAGAAATGGAGATAGATGGTTGTGGGTTTTTTTCCTTCATTCTACTTCTATTATCTCCAGATTTAATTTATATGCTTACTGCTCCTGCAGCAAAGAGGCCAGGCATAGTTTTAACAGTGTTTTCTGGTATCATTAAGATGATGTAACAGAGTTAAAGTTGTTTGTGGAATAGGTTTGCATGGAGGAAACTTTGGAAAGTTTAAACTGTGATATTTAGGTCATATTACTGTAGCAAAACCAATTTTTAGTAGAATCAACTAAAAATAGAGAACTGAGTAAAAGGCAAAATAAATTCAAAATCATCCTTCACTCGGGGAAAGTACATATTTTTAAGATTAAGCAGCTTGCAAGAAACTTCCCCTCCCTGCATTCATTATTGCAGACAAACTCCATGACCTTCGTGGGCGTTACAGTGCTAATCCAGTGTAATGGATGTTGGAAATACTTTTAAATGGAGACCTGCCCTTTCTTTCCTCCCAGCTGAGGATGGCATCGATATTAGCCTGTGAAATGAGAGCTGGGTTCAGTGAGTTACTGATAAGGAAGAACTGAAGCAAATGCTACTCTTTGACAGCTGTAACATGACAGTCCCATTCTAATTTCATTGTATTTCAAGTAAGTATTTTACATGGTTCAGCACAGCTGTCCATCCAGAAATGGAAAAATGTAGAACTCTGCATAAGTCTTGCAAGGAGAAAACCACTGTTTTATTTTCTCCCTCCTGAGGCCTTGCTGGGATTTACTAGTTCACTCCATTACTCCACTGAGCTAATTCTACTCTTAAATCACTTTATCTCTTTGATATTTGCAAATTTTCTCCCCTCAATTTTAATTTAACTGCAATGATTAAGATCATGTGTGAGGGTTTATATGGTTCCTACATACGGTATCTGAAGTTGTTGTGTTCAAAAAATGCACAGGTGGCTATACAAGGAGCTGAAGATTATAGAAATAATAATAAAAACATAGTTCCAAAACTATGGGACTGAGAATAATAGAAGATAATTATTTTTTTGAACAAGAAAGAATAGCATATGAGAACAAGAGATCTTTCTGGCCTTTTGCCTACCTCTTTTCATTTGCTTTGTGCAAAATTCATCCTGGCAGCCTTTTCAGTTTCCATGTGGTCAACATTCTAGGTGGTAACTCTTGTAGTACAATAGTTTTTGAATCCTGTCATAATTCTGTCAAGTGTACCTATTCATGATATGATATTTTGTATGGGATAAGAATATACTGAGCAGTACACTTAATACAGAACATTATATACTGCAGCTTTTAGGAACCAGAAGCATAAAAATGTATATAAAAGCGCAGCAGAGCTTGATTTGCAGTTCACTTCTACTGCTAAACTTGGATTAAAGGTCTGGTTGGAAGTGAATTTAGTTTTATGGCATTTAAGTAAGTCTTAATTCTGATCTTTAGCCTGGATGACTTTTTGTGTATGACATTTGTTTCTTTTGGTCCTTTGTCTTCTCTGCTTTATGTGTGATTTGCATTGTCACGTGTTGATGGTAAAACAAAACCTCTCCACTGTGTGCACAGTTTTCTTGATGAGAAAAACATCCAAGGAGAGCTGGTGCTTAGGAATGGGGTATCAGGGGTGGTACATCATCCACTGAGAGCTGAACTAAAAGGCAATATATATATCAGCTCTGGGGTTTGGTTGTGTTTCTTTTTTCCCCTTGCTTCCCAGGATGATTGACTGGTTTGCATCTGATGAAATTTTCATGCACATCCGCAGAGCAGTGGGATCCTGAGGAGAGAGATTAATATTTCAGTAATTGTACCATGCCTGTAGGTCACTGGGGTCCTTGGTGCATCCACAGAGGAGCCCTGGCTGTAGGCAGCAGTTAACAGGAATGTTGATAGGAGGAAATCCAGCTGTGGGGGGCTTGTTGCTTCTGGCAAAATATGTGGATGGGAAAAGAAAGAATGCATGTGAATGTCCTTTCCTGCAAATAAGTGTTTTGAGGAAGGGGTGGGTACTGAGTTAGTATAATGCAGGGAGAAAAAAGCTGATTGTTTCTCAGGCTATGGCAGTAACTTCAGGTGCTGAATGTCACTTAGTGATGCCAGGGAGAGGTAACCAAGGCTGGATCATGGCTTGGCAGAGTCACTGCTCTGTCTTTTCGTTTGGGGGATTGCCAGGCACTCTCTGCCTTGTGCTTTCAACATGCCTGGTCAAGGCTGGGCTTCTGGAACATTTCATCTTCCGCAGACTCATGCATCCATTTCTCCTGTCCCTCCCTATTCCAGAGAACAGCCCATCTTCACCACCAGAGCCCATGTCTTCCAAATTGACCCCAGCACGAAGAAGAACTGGGTTCCTGCAAGCAAGCAGGCTGTAACTGTTTCCTACTTCTATGACAGCACGAGAAACAGCTATCGGATTATCAGTGTGGATGGAGCCAAGGTAGGAGGCTGGTGGTACCCCGGCGTGTTTGCTGTGTGGAGCGGGGTGTGACTGTCAGCCCTGGCTGGAGACAGACATAGAGGGGCTGCATTAAACACTTAAGTGCATAAATACTCAGTTTTTTGTATAATCCGTTATGGAGACTTGCAGTGATAACTGGAAAAACACACGGCACCTGAAAAGTGATTTTGCCCAACTTAAATGATTTTGTCTCTGACTAATTTGCATTCATGATTGTAACAAGCCAAGAGCCTTAAGTGTCCGAATTGAGTCTGTGACACAGTATCTAAAACAGCCACCTATATTGGGTAGATAAGGCTGAGCCCTTTTTGGTGGAAAAAATTTTCTTTTTAAAGGGAATGAGGAGACAGATAAACGCAGACTAGAGCTTTTAATGTAAATGCCAACTGCATATTCACTTTTGCCTGGCTGAACTATTCACAGGTTAGTACTTATTTTCTTTAGCTTTTACACTGGGGTTCATCAGCCTTAGGTGACAAGTTTGACATGAAGACTCTGCCCCCACATTTTTTCTTATTTTGTTTTGCATTGCCAGAGAGTGTGCTGAAGTATTTCCTGTAAGAATCCCGGTCAGTTGGGTTGAATAGGTTGCTCAGACAACTGTTTTTACTACATACTAGATTTATCCCTCTGATTAGGCCCTCCAAGGTCACTTGATGAGTGACCACTTTGCCCTAGCAGACCCCAGTCAGAGGTATAAGTGAAAACATTTTACTCATGTACAAAAATCATTGGTCATTTCTGTCAAAGCACAAACCACAGGGCAACAAGATGAGTTCACAGCCTGTTTATCTGCATTCCTGTTTGGATGAGGATGTTAAAATATCACTGTTCTGGGAGATAGAGATCACAGAAATCATCCCTTAATAAAGCTTTTCTATTTGTCATGCCTATTTCACATACTTGTTTTTCCAAACATCTCCTGTGCTATATTTGGTTATATATTGGCTTATAAATCAGCCATACTGCCTGCTTAAATTGATGGTAATGTCTCATTGACACTGGTTCAGCATTAATACATCCCATCATTATGCTGTTTGTGCTGGTGTGCTCATTCCCAGAAATGCCAGCTCTCTGCCCCGGTTTGCAGAGGGCACACACAGCCCCTGCAACTTGCTGGGGAAAGCTGAGCACCCCCCAAATTTTCTTATACCCCATGGATGCCTCTGCTTGGCAGAAGCTGGTGCTGGTGGTAGTGGGCTGGTGCCTTTACAAACCCAGGCGAGTTTTTTTCCAAGCCAGAACTGCTGCACTCGCAGCAGTGGGTTGCCTGATTTGTGGCTGTGCATGCACGCATTAAGAGCAATTAATGAAAACAAAGTAATTACTGTATGTGGCAGGCGAAGCTGCAGGGCAGTGTACACCCACAGCCAGAGCTCCTACCCAGAGCTGTGACTGGAAAGTGTGTGCTGAGAATAAGGTGGGCATCTGGCCTTTGCTTTGTAATCTATCCAAAAGTCATTCAGAAGGAACAGCCCCAACTCCCCACCCCCATTCTAGTATGTCCCAGAAGAAAGTGAGTGTTCCATGATTTGAATTCTCCTGTGGGGCCTCCCAAGCAGGAATCAATTGCTGGCCACATAAATTATTCCTCTTGTATTGAATCTTTGCTGATTAAGGAACAGGTTGAGAGGAGATGCTGCCTTCTTACTCGCCTCTGGAGAGTCCCGTGACCCTGCATGTCCATTTTAAGAGTGCTAATTTGGGAAAAAATTGGTGACTATGCCCAAATAAGTTAAAAGTTGCATTTTCCCCCTCAACCAATTATTGTTTAGTGTTTTGACCTACTTTTCCAGGCAAAAATGAAACTGGCTAAAACCGTGAGGAAGAATATAGACAGCTTCAGATGATGGTGTCCTGCTTTCTGTACATTTCACTTATTAGAATGAAGTTTTCTGTGTGTTGGCAAATACCAGATGGATCAGCATCACAGCATCACTGTGGGCAGGAGTTATCTCTGTCTTACGGACAAAAAAGCTGAAGCTCAAGTAAATGAAGGGACTTGGCCCTAGGAGGAAGGTGGTGACAAAGGACATGTGTCTCTCCATCCTTGTCTGAACTGCAAAGGGGCTGTTCTAACAGTTTATTTGAGACAAACATATGCAATGCACATTGGCTTGCAAAGAAATCTCAGTTAAATCCAACTTGTATGCAGCTGTTGGATTAATTTGGTAGTTTTTTTACCTTACGTTGATGTTATATAGTAACAATAAAAATGTTTTAAGGTGATCAAGACCACAGGGCACTTCACTTAAATATTGCTCATTACCTGGTTGCATAAGCTTTCTTTTACTTGTAGCATTCAACGTGTCACTCTGGGCAGCGTGTTGAGTTGCAGAGGAGCACAGGGCTGCTGGACCCTGTTAGTGCTGCTGTCGTGCCAAGCACAGGGCAGGCTGTGTAATGTCACCCTGATGAGTATTTCCTCCTGCTGCAGCACTGATCTGATGGGCTGTGATTCGGGCAGGAGTGGCTTCTCCAGGCAGCTTCTGCTGCCCTCAAAGGTCCAGAGCCTCTGCAGTCCCCTGTCCTTCAGCCCCATCCTCTCTTCTCCCAGCAGGCATAGCCTGTCCCTATTTCCTCCTTGCCACTCATCCCCATGCACCTGGGGTGCAGGAGGATGGGGAGGGGTTCTGCAGGGCAGAGGGGAGCAGCAGGATTTTGCAATGGGCTTAAAGAGGGGGATTAAGGGAACTGCTGAGTCCGTGTGTTTAAAGGTATAAATATTGGGAGCTCATTTTGTGAGCCTGGCTGGCAGAAGGGCAGAGGAGCTGCTTGGCTCTGCTGCACAGCACAATACAACACTACCTTCACATCCTTACCACTTTGCCAAGTGGTGGGGAAGGACAGGGGGGCCTGGCTGGTACACATGGAGGTGGTGAGGACGGACATTGCGGCAGAGAAAAATGGGATAGAAAGAGAGTAGGGTAAAGATAGGAAGCAGAGTGAAGTCAGGACAGCTTAACTCTTACCTTGCAGAGGGATGTGCAAGAGTCTTATGCTGAAAACCAGGAGGGCAGCCAGGAGAGGGTGTACATCTTCAGGTACAAGGTTTCTTCCAAATCCTCTCAGCCCAATTACAAAAAAACCCACTGAAATGCCTGGAGAATCAAGCACTGCATGGTGGAGACCCTAGATTCAAACCAGCTTGTACCACTTTAATTCCTCATGTTTGCAAAGCTAGACAAGAACAGCTATTGTAATTCCTGTGTCTTTGACAGAAAAACAGGTGCTGTGGACAGTATCTTACACTTTACAGCAAAAGATTTCACAAGTACTATAAAAGAATGCACTGAATGATCTTAACCAAGATACCATGACCAAACAAGGGAATAGATTAGTACATCTTTTAATTACATAGTAATTGACTTGTATGTTGTCAAGAAAGTAATTTCATCATGACGTTTTAAGAGGTTTCTAGCCAGAGGCTAACTGTGGCATAATGAATGGTGGAGGAAATGATACAGTAAAATGCAAGGGCATACACTGATTCAGAGTTAATGATGCAGCCAAAAGACTTCACCATGTGAAAGTGTTCAGTGTTGTGGGCAGAAGTCAACCCTGCTGAAAAATGACAAAATACATGGATGGTGCAGGGAGAACGTGAACTTGTAAGTGCCCAACTGCTGTGCAGTGTGTGGGGAAAGCCACACACAGGGCTCCTCATTAAAAGTGACCTACATTGATCTGTCTTTTTGAGGTGAAAAGAAAGTTTGAAAAGGTATGAAAATTATGCAGACTAATAGCCTCTATCATCTTCAGGAATAATGCATGGTAGTGCCCAGGTTGGTGGGTATATTTATTTTTTATAAACTGGAAATACGTGTTATCCAAACAGTATAGAGAAGGGGGAAAGGCATTTCAGATGGAGATATAATCCCTTAGAAACAATCTCCTGCCCTCATTTTCAAATGTTCATATGTTGTATTTCTACAGAACTTGTGATTGCAAGGTCGTTTTTCTCTTTTGAGAAGTGAGTTGTTAACAAGGAACGTAAAACTATCTTAAAAATAAATAGCCAGCAATAAAGCGTATAGTGAGACATACTGAGTTGGCAGTAGCAATGTGACGCAGCAAGAGTCATCTCAGATGCCAGTCCTAAGTTGTCTCTGAGAGATGCTTTAACAGATGACTAGAAAAAATTAAAATCAGGGTTTAAAAGATGACTAGATTGCAAGAGTAATTGTGGTAAATACATGATACAGGAATAAAGTCTGTGTTTCAGGGAAAAAAAACCAGCCATCTGACACTCATTCCTGGTTCCTAGATCATTTAAGAATTTATTACCTGACAATTACCTTGAATATTGGAGAGCAGCAGCTAAGTTGGGCATAAGTGTGTGAAAGTACTGAAGGGAGAACCAGAAAAATTGCTGTGCTGGGAAAGCAAAATCAGTGGATCTATTTCTGAAGAAAATTGCAATTACTGAGAACAAGAATATGGGCCAAATTTTACCAATCAGTATTCACATAATTCTCCCCAAAGCAAATATAGGGCATTGTAGGGTGTGATGAAGCTGTTTGATTTAATGGTATATATGCAGCAGACAGTGTGATTTCCAGAGCACAATGAAGCTGGCAGGGACAGAGCCCCAGCAGCCTGTGGCAGCAGATATTTAGTGAGGTAAGAAGGGGTGATATGTAAGTCTGCTAATATTTGATGTATTTCTGGCCTTGTCAGTTCCTGTACTGGTCCTAATTGCTACCTAATTGAATAGCTGCCCACCTCTTTCTGACCACGCTTTCCGTGTTGTCACGACTGGAGGCACAGAGAGGAAATTCAGAATCCTTCCAGTGATGTGTTCAGGCACTCAAAACAGATCATTTTCTTTGCCCACAGAAAAGGAATTATTTTAAGGCATAGCTGTTAAAAATATCCTAGAGTACTTTGCCAAAAGGTGACTCTTAGATTTGAGAATCTTTTCTTTCCCAGGAAAACAATTGCAGGGTATGGTAGCACAGATGAAATTCCTTCATCTT